GAAAGGATCGAACTCTATTATCTCCAAGAAATTTCCGACGTCTTTTCAGAAGTACAAACAAGGAAGCAGACAATAATGATCAGTACGAACAATGGTATATGCACTATATTTACACATCATTAGGTACACATTTTGTCAAAGATATCACATCACAACCCTTTGAAAACGAATAACACCCCTCCAACCATACAAAAATTTAATGATTCGATCCGATAGAGCACACATATTCCTGTCTTATTTGTCCCAACACTTTTTAATGATAATTTAAAAATGACAGTCCCTTGAAGTATGAATTAACAAATATATACACCTGTTGGAAATTAAATTACTGAATAGAGGAAACTCCAAGAATCTCAATAAACGTTTGGAAATATACCATCCAAGGTAATCGGAAACTAGCACACATATTGATATTGATCTAATCATAGATTACCGTGGAGAAATCATCCATCACTCTGTGAACTGTCAGTTGTACAAAACAGCCAACGCGAACAGAAAAAAGAGAAATATAACCAAAAACTACTGACAGTTTTGTCATCAGAATGGACTAACTTGACGCTTGTGTCATAATCGAATTACCTGCGTCTAAATGAACTAAGCTTACGTGGTAATGAGCAGTGACAACGAAAGTTTCTGGATTAAATCATCCATTTCAAAAGCACCCATCTAATCTATAAATTAAATACAGAAATTTTCGTCAGTGAAGGTGCTAAGAAACAGCAATGACGTTTAAAAAATGCTTTCAGGTTCAGCGTCTACAATGAATGTATGCTAAGTTACCTATCGTCACAGATCCATTTACCACAACAGAATAATTAACAAATAAAAGCTGTTTACTTATAAAGGAAAGGTAGTATATACTAATTTGGCTAAAAAAACTGTGTGACGTGTTTTTCGGATAATGAAAAACTCAAGTTCTCAATAATACAGATGAAAATATAAGTAACAGCTAGCTAAAATAAGTACTGGTAAATCCCTGAAAATAGAGAACCTCTTGACTGTTCCGTCGTTCTTTTTCCGAGGCTTTCTTAAGTTATCTACTCACGATTTCACATAACTAAGTGCTATGGCCTTCAATCTGCACACTCAGTGGTACCCAGGATTTCTTATTTATTTAGTTGGGGTCCAGCCAGTCATATTTCAGACAACAAATAATTTTTGCCGTAGAATTATCCTATTTAAATAGTAGCTTCATTTTAGGTTGCAGGTAAATACAGTTGTTTCCCTTTTACAACGAATATCCAGCTTGAATCCATTACTGACCAAAACTACTTTTAAAGTACATAAATATTTTCATAAAAAACATGAAATTATATACATACGTTAATGAGTAACAGAAAAATCACAAACAGTGCATTGTAAAATTATAACGTACATGGAATTCATCATAATTTCTTTCAATAACATACATGGGAAAACGATTAGATCTTCATTAAACTTTAATATACAGACTAAAGCTTGATGAAGATTTGATTGGAAACATTATCATTTGCCTATATCTAATGTTAAAACTTTTAATTGTCCCGTTCATTATCATATAAATGTATAAACTTATTGTAGATTGATCATAACTCACAGTTCGATTTAGCATGGAGTTTAACTAAATTCATCTGACATATAGGTTCAGATTGATATCATGAATAGGCCAGTGTTAGACAACCATTGAAAACCTGCAATCACTAGACGGCCGTTTCGTCCTAGTATGGGAATTCTCAGTAGCGCTCATCCACGACCTCGCAAGCAGGGTGTGAGAATGCTTAAACTCTAGACCACTGAACCGGCACCTAACGGTGTTAATGTCTAACGTCAATCATTGTCTTCGGTGTGTAGTTGCCCCACAACAGACACTTTTGAACCCCACTGGCCACAGCTTCTCACCAAAACTTCATGAAAACCATCTTGAAGCTAGTCACTAGTTCTGCAATATTCATGTTTTCACCTTCACTGATATTGGAAATCGATTTACTGAGAAAATGTATTCAATGTAACTTTTCTTACTTCTAGACCAGAAAACTTTTTCTAGTATTCAACTAACTGAAAGTAATGATATATTAAATCATATACTGTTTTATATACATACAAAATACTTTGATCATCTCAACACGGTTTATGCGATGTCCAGTCACCTAAACTATTGGCCAAATTGTAATTTGGTCGATAGAATCTGATCTGCACTAAGGAGGACCTGACACACTGGGCATCGATCACTACCCGGTGATCGATTAATGGTGAAGTGAGTTGTAGTGATAATTCTAATTACTCATCAGTAAATAACAAAGCAAAAAACAGGAACAAACTCAACTCCACGACTTACCATTCATTTAATGTAGTTATAAATTAGCTGTTAAAACAGATTGTAACTCATTACATTTTTAAATAATGCACTAAAAAACCACTAATTAATATAAAACAATTTCGTGGATTAGCTGAAGTTAGACATTAACACCGCTGGATGATGACCGGCTTAGTGGTCTAATGGTTAAGCGCTGCAAGCGAGACTGTTAGGTCCTGAGTTCGAATCACGCGGGTGCGCACTGATGAGGAGTCCGACAATAGGACGAAACGGTCGTCCAGTTTTTTCCAAGTTTTTCATTGTGGTCTAGCTTTAATTTACTCATGATCTCAACCACTGAAAAGATAAAACAATTTATTAATTAAAAAGTCAAGTAATATTAGTTATATAGCGTGTAAAGGGACTTATATCATTACTATATTCTAGTCCTTGTGATATCATTGAACATATCTTTCAATTCAAGGTTAACCAACTGTTTTGCCATACAGTTTATTTTTATAGAATAACAACTGTCTTGTCTTTAAAAGAGAATTCCATCAATTCAAAGATTTAATCAGTTTGCTAAAATGAAGTCTCTTAGTACACCTCTTAATATCTAGTTAATTCCAGTTATTATTCTGTCTGAATTAGAACAGTGTAGCAGAAATCTAATCAGAGTACACAACTGAATACTTAACACAAGAATCTAAAGGTTAGATAAAGTAATCATTAAATTAATTTATTAAATCATTAAATCTACCAATATTTAACAAATTGTAATGACGTAAGCAACTTCTTTTATGGCTGTACGCTTATCCATAAGTTAAGAGGTCCATTTGTATAAACGCTATCATGAATATATATCTATTTGAAGTTAGTCGAAAATTTCATTACCTCATAATTCTAATTCATTTTTAAAATAACTTCAATATCAGAATGGTAATTTGTGAAGATTTTTAGTCAATCTAACCTAGACCATCATTGAAAATCTGGAAGCATTGAACGAACAGATCATGAATTAATTGACACCATAGCATCTCACGTGCAATTGAGCTTGTTCACATTTAATTTGGCTAAGTCATTTTGTTAACTTATTTGACGGACAGAGTCATCATCCATACTATAATAACTTATCTATATCGTTGTACCTTTATTATTGTTGTGCTTGTATGAAATATGTATGCTTGAACATTGCTTACTGCTTACGCATATATTGATTCTGCTAGCTTTATTATTAAATGCTTATTTGATTCGATGATCCATTCATTTCCCTATATATATATGTGTATATATCCACTTAATCCTATACACTGTCGATTTTCTGACCCACTCATTCGTCTCTGCTCTGTGATCTGAGCTATCTGCTAATAAACCGTAGTTGTTGTTTCTCTTTTCCTTCTGATCTCAAACACTTTTGAGGTTTATATAATAAGGGTTACGAGGGTGATTGGTTAACGAAGCACTTACTTACTTTACTTACGCCTGTTACTCCCAATGGAGCACAGCCACTACATAACTGTTGAATGCCAGCTCAATGATCTAAAGAGTTAAGCGTTAGATTGCTTTAGATCGCAAATTCTTGATTCAAATACCACTTTTCAAGATCACGGATGGATACGTACTATTGAAAAGTTTCATACTTACTTATGCCTATTACTCCTCGTGTAGAAGCATAGGCGCCCCACCAGCATTCTGCATCCAACCCTGTCCTGGGCAATCTTTTCCAGCTCTTTCCAGTTGTTATTCATCCTTTTCTTATCTGCTTCTATTTCCCAATATAATGTGTTCTTTTGCCTTCCTCTTTTCCGCTTCCCTTCAGGATTCCAAGTTAGGGCTTGCCTCGTGATGTAGTTTGATGATTTGCGTAATGTATGTCCTACTTATTTTCATCGTGTTTTCCTAATTTCCTCCTCAGCTGAATGCTGGTTTGTTTTCTCCCACAGTAGGCTGTTGCTGATGTTATCCATCCAATGGATGTTGAGTATCTTGCGTAGACAACTATTTATAAATACTTGTACCTCTTCAAGAGTTACTGCCGGTCCCAAGCCCGAGTAAAGGAGGAGGGTTCGGCATGTGGTTAGCGACCCCATCCCGTAGAAAACTAACTCGCTAAAAAAACGCTAACCAGAGTAGTTTCATACTAAGACAAAATGTCCGTTTATTGTTTTCACTAATAGTTTAACATTATTCAATTCATAAATTCAATTATTTAACTTCAATATCTTTAAATTTGTTTAAAACAACACCTACAATAAGAAATTTATTTCTTTCCAAAATATTTATGACACAGACACAGATACACACACACACACACAAAATAACCATCAAAGAATAAAATACTTGAAAGTGAAAAACAAGGAAAAAAAGAATAATTTTACTAAACTATTTTAATGGAATTTAACATCAAGTAAATACTTTTTTTTGTCCAGATACCATACCATCATAAAATGAAATCCAATTTGAAACTAACTGACAAATCCTAATTGTTGAATGAATTTCATTATTCCTTATTGTGGATTGTTTAATTAACATTTTATAATTAGAAGCAACAAAAAAATACAAACTTTCACGTATCCTTATTTGTGTGTGTGTGTGTGTGTGTGTGTGTGTGGAATTACTCTATTTCAATTAGTGATAGTAAACAGTAGTAAATAATTAATCCCAATATCCTTTGGATACACATCTATACATGTCAGATTATTAGTGTACATATGTGTATATGTGTGTATTTGTGTTGTAATTTTGTATATACGTGTGTTTTCTATGTTATTTTCATCTTTATTGTTTATTTGAATGATGCACACTTCACAAAAAAAAGAACCAAAAATGTCTTAGACCACATGGAAATATAATAGAAGTTTGAATGTATTATCTAACCAATCATAAATGAGAGAATTACTATAAACTAACCGGTACTATCATTATTATTGTTATTATTATTTTGTTCTTTTACATCATTATTAATCATAATAAGGTACTTGTTACTATTAATAGTAGTATCATTACTACTATTAGTTCAATGTCCAATAATATTTCTTATGAAAACAGCAATATAAAAAAGAAGGAACACCAATAAATACTATTGTATAAATATACAAATTATACTTCACTGAATCACTAATTATCATCATCATCATCATCATCATCATCTCAGAATGTCAATTTCTAATGGTCACTGTAATAATTACTTAAAAAAAGAAATCAATGGTCTTAGAAAATGGAAAGTAAATGGTCAACAAACTAATGGAAAATCAAGTCATATAAAAGAAAATGAAAAACACAATATTAATCAGGATGGCAACTATGAAAATAGTTTACAGAATGAGGAACAAAATAATCAAATAAAAAATAGTTGTATATTAAATGAAAATGGGAATGGGACAAAAAATGATACTTTAAAAATAGAAAAATTCGATGGTGATAATAACCATAGTTATATGAATGATAATGGTAATAATAATGAGAATTTTGTACCAATATGTAAACCTGGACGTTTCATTTGTCGGTAAGCCATGTACTATTAGATTTAATGTAATGTAATTCATATAACATGTTTTGAATTCAAGTTTTATTATTAAGCACTATTTAAATAATAATAAAATATCTCACAACAGACCTGGCTGCTCACTAGAAATCCAGGAAATGTCTCTTGAGGTCAGTCACTAGTGAGCAGATGATTATTATGAGAAGGGGTTTTGTGGAGATGTCAGTTCACTGAAGACAATAGTTCACGGTGGAGCAATTTCATGGGTTGGATGAAGTTAGAGATTAACAGCGTTGGATGTCTGCTCAGTGGTCTAATAGTTAAGCGCTCGCGCGCGAGGCTGATAGATCCTGCGTTAGAATCTCGCGGGGGGCGAGATCGTGGATTCGCACTGCTGAGGAGTCTTGTGGTAGGACGAAAGGGTCGTCCAGTGCTTCCAGATTTTCCATGGTGATCTAGCTTCAATTGACTCATGATTTCAACTAGTGAAATTTCTAAAATCTCCACAAAACCCTTTCTCAATATAATAAAATAATTAAGAAAGTAATACAAACTACTATGAATATCATTACTAAGTATATTGTAAAAAAGAAATGAAAAAATTTCCACTGATCCGATTAGAAAGTGAACATCTATAAAATAGATGCTGATTAATTTATCGTCGATTTATAATGAATAAACTTAAATAGTGAATGGTTTTATTAGTATGAGGGTTTTTAGAGAGACTAAACTGCAAAGTAAATTATAAACAGTGATTATACTAAAAAGGAATCAACTACTTTGATAGGTTAAATTATCAAACTTAATCGCTGTTATATAAGTTAAAAATACCACCATTCTTTATTTGGTAGAATAAAAGCAGTAAAAATGAATGAACTGATGAATTGTTTGTCACAGATTTCATAGTATAATTAACATTATAGTTCAACATTGGATCTCGGTTCATTGATCTAGAGTTTAAGCGTTTGTGCACAGAACCGAAACCTCAATGTTTGAATCCCATTTGTGCACTTATATATGTTCACAGCTGATGAGTCGCACACTAAGAAGAAATGGTCATCTAGTTGGACGGCTATCTAGATGTTTAACTCTGATTTCGATGAAATTTAACAATCTCCACAACATTATACTAACAATAACAGGAAAAAAGATGAGGAAAATAATCAACACCGTTTGGTTACGGTTGCATAGTCTAATTTCGATTATCAATATGATCATATATTTAAACCAATAATCAAATGGATTTGATTCAAACACAAGTTCAAAACATTTTTTTCTATTTGCTGATTATTGAAACAAAGACAATGGGAACTTATCTCATTGCAAATTGTTTAATCATCAGTAGTAAATAGTATTCTGACACTGCTTGTAGACATTATATATTATATATCGATTCAATTCACTTAAGAAATTCAAAGTTATCAATGAAAATTAATGTTTATTATTAATTTCTTACGAACAAATTTAGTTTAGAATGATAACCCAGTAATCAGACATATATTCAGTTGACAGGTTGTAATAAATCTTTTATTATATTAGTACACACTTACTGAAATGTTAGTACTTCTAGGCAGTTTGGTAAGGTAAATAACCAGTGAACTTCAACCGGGTCTTTTGTGAGATAGTAACTCACTAAAGACAGTGGGGGACGGTCACACAGTTTCATGAATTGGTTGAGGTTAGACACTAACACCGTAGGATGCCGACCGGCTCGATGGTTTAAAGGTTCAGCGTTCGCGCGCGAGACTGATAGATCCTAGGTTCAAATCTCGTGAGGCGGGATCGTGATCGCACTGCTGAAGAGTCTTGTGGTGGGACGAAACGACCGTCTAGTGCTTCCAGGTTTTCCATGGTTGTTTATCTTCAGTTGATTCATGAATTCAACTATAAAATTGTATTATTTATTCTGTTTGCTTCTGTAAAAGTTTATCAGGTTATCTATTACTGATCAAATTGTTAAAAGTCAAAATAGATATTTTTTTACCTTAAAAATATAATTCTCTATATTTAAAAAAGGATATTTCTTACAGCACATTTCAGTACATTTCATCAATCGTAAAGTAATTAACCTAAGTGTAATTTGCATATTATAATTTATTATTTATTGATAAATGTACTGGCCTTAATGATACATTTTGGGGATAAATTTATGTTTTTGGTTAAAAACTTGTATAACTACCAATTTTATCAGTAGTAATTGCTTTTAGAATAAAAATTAAGTGTAATTCTATTGAGTTTATAAACCAATCTCTGTTAGGCAACCATTAAAAATCTGGAGGTACTGAACTACCATTTCATACTAGTATAGGACGGCCGAGCAGTTTGCATCCACGACCCCACAAATGGGTATCGAATCCAGATCCTTCTGTCTCGTGCACTAACGTTTAATCTCTAGGTTACTGAGTCGGTATCCAACGGCATTAATTTTTAACTTCAATAGATCCATTTGATCCTTTGATTAATTTCTGGATGTGGTTAAGATGGCTATATGAAATCTCTAAATATCCGAATTCCGTTTTGTATTATGTATTTATCCCTCAACTTAAATTACAGATACATAATTTCTTAGTCTTTTTACGTCATCTCCACAACGTTCTACTAAAAATAACAAGAAAAACAGAGAAAATAATAAACATCGTTTGATTATGGTTGCATAATTCAATTTTGATTACCAATAAGATCATATATTCAATTAAACGATACCAAGTAAATTTAAACTTCAACACGTTGCACAAACAAGTGAATATCAGTATTCAGTAGCTAAGTGGGTAAAGTGATGGGGTTTGAAGGAAACAGTACTGAGTTCGAGTCCCAGAAGGAACATCAACTCTCAGATACAGGTACTTCCATCTGATGAGTCACAAATAAAACGGAAAGTGCGTCCTAGATTGCACTGCTAGCCAATATCCATCTTTGCTTATAATGCTTGTGAATTGAGGCAATATCAAGGCAACATGCACAGTATGCACATATGCTGATAAGTGACTGATCAACTGCAGTCCTAGACAACAATGGGATGATTTAAACAAACAATACAAAATGATTTTTTAAATAACATTTTAAACTCATGAACTTCATGCTTTTACTATAGAAAAGAAATAAATGAACCGGTGTATTTACCATAATTCCACCACAAATACGTCCATCTATAAATTAATTTTTTTTATCTACTAGTGTACAGGAATGAGTTTCAATGAAGAAGTTTGTTATATGAATGTCCCTTATTTATTTATTTGAAGATACGACAGAACAGTACAGAGTTTTAATGTTTTGTTTTGGAGTTTACCGAATAGTCTATAAACACAGAATGACATTGGGTTGAGCTTAGAAAGTTTATATCTTTAGATGTATAAGATACCTTTTGACCACTGAATCGGAGTTCAATAATCTAATTTCACAACATCAATCCACCTGTAGTATACTTAGTTATTACCATTCGTCGATTTATGAATGATTTTTGATATGGTTTATTTTATCAGTTATAGCTTTCCATTGCAAATTTAGCTTAATCTGTCTTATATTATTATTAACTTTATTCAATATTATATTTTTGGCACAATATAGAAATTTCAGCACAAAATATTTCAGCAAGTTTCTTTTTTGTTACTTCTTGATCGGTCTTGACGATAAATTTTAAGTGATCACCATTTAGAAATTACCAGTCCAGTCAATCGACATCTAAATAATGTACATTCTTTTCGTTGTATATTGTCAGCGACCAAGATATCTTTGACTGAACCTTTTATAACTTGTACAACGAAATGGTGTACACTTTTCAAAAAACGCGCTTGAATAAGTTATGCGATCAATGACCATAATGATGTATTAAAACAAACAAAAGAAACAGACAACTTGTTGAAATATCTTTACATGTCATTATTGAAGAAAATAAGAATTGTTTTCTCTATTCCCTTTAATGTTCTTTCCAACATTCCAACCCATACATAAAGTAAAAACAAAAAAAATTGTTCTACGATAAGCAGAATATTCTAAACATGAACTGATTTCTAAGCGTTAGTAACCTTTTGAATTAGTTTATAAAAGTATCATAATGTTAATAATTTACAAAACTTTACGGTTGCCAAATTCCATTTTTAAAATATTTTTTTCTAAAAAAAAAGAAAAACAAAAAAAAGAAACACTTGGTGTTGCTTTACATGTATCTTTCCATTATTATTTAGGACTGCAATTGATCAGTCTTATGTTAGCATATGTGTATCCTATGCGGATTGCCTCGATATAGCCTTAAGTCACAAAAGAAACATACCAACGCAAAAACTAAATTTTTCATAAACATAATTTTTTTTGTTGTTGATATAAATATACAAGCAAATATTTTATTGTCGCATAGTTTACAGGTTATTCCATGAAAGATAATAATTGTCACAACGATTTTATGAATTGTCCAAGGAATACTTTGCAAGAATGATCTTATGCGGGTTTTTTTTTGCGGGGGGGAGAGGGGTTGGTTTTTCTGTTAATCTATACGATCTTAGTTATATCTGTGTATATCATATACAATGTTTAGGTTCTTTAAAGAGCAAATAAATTTGTTTATTCTATATTGCTTGTTCTTCTTTTTTGTTTTTAAACCAAGATAATGTAAATGAACTATTATATCCTTTTTATTAAATACTCATCCGATTATACAAAAGTGTGTGGGTAATTTCTATTGTTGAATTCATGAGTCATAAGAAGCTAGACTATCATGGAAATCCTGGAAGCATTGGACAGCCGTTTTGTCCTAGTCAGGGACTCCTCAAAGGTGAACATCCACGATCCCGCCCTGCAAGATTCGAACTCAAGACCTATCAGTCTCACGCGCGAACGCTTATTTCTCTAGACCACTAAATCTTTTGTGAAATAGCAACTCACTAAAGACGGTGGTGGACGGTTACGCAATTTCGTGGATTGTTTGGAGTTAGACATGCCGGCTTGGTCGTTTAGAGGTTAAGCGATCACGAGTGAGACTGATAGATCCCAGGTTCGAATCTTTCGGGACGGGATCGTGGATGCATTCT